AAAAAAAACATCCCGAAATTGTTATATAAATCATAAGATAAATATCGGAATACGAAAAACAAAAACAAATATGATAAAACAAACACAAATGTAATGATAATAGCCGACTGAAATCCATACTCTCTAGGCATTGTGGGTAATGCGTGTTCAGCGAGAGAACCTGTGAACTGAAATCAATGTCTGAAGCAATGGACCCCTGCCCTGAAGTCTGGGGGGCTTCGGTCTTTCGCTGTAGGTATGGTTGGTCTTAAAAAGTTAAAGCTGAAAAGAGTTTGTTCATATTATTCAGAGGCATTCTTTATGATACGGTTATTCGATGCTATAATATGGTATATATGCTGGTTATAATAGGAATACCAGTAATATTATTAGCAATATTGATGATAAAAACAGTAAAAAAAAGAATAATGATAAGATAATGATGATAATAGTAATAATAGAAGTAGTAGTAATGAAAATCATAATGATGGCAGTGATAATGATAATAATCATAATAATTATGATAATAATCATAAAAATTATGATAGTAATCATAAAAATTATGATAATAATCATAATAATTATAATAATAATCATAAAAATTATGATAATAATCATAATAATTATGATAACAATAAAAATATTAGTAATGGTAATAATGATAAATAATAAAAGTGATAATAATGATACTACTAATAATAAGGATAATAATAATGATACTACTACTAATAACGGTAATAATAGTTGTTATGATTATATTTTTTTCATTATTATAATTACTATAATGTTATTAATTACATCGATGATAAAGATGAAATTACAACAACAATATTGCTAATTATAGTAGAAAAACAACAAAAATAATACTATAATTCAAGGTATGATATTGAAGTCAATGAATTACGATATAGTAATTATGACTGATGATAATGATACCACACTAGTGCTAATGGTGAAAAGTCATTATGACTATCATCTTAGAGTTAGCAATGGAAATTAAAAGTATCACATCTCTTAATTGCTATCACTATCGCCATCACCATCATCAATTGCCATCTTCATCATATTCCTGCTTTATATCATCATTTATCACACCCCCCTTTATCATTCTCATCATCATTTTCCTCCCCTTTCTCCTCATCTTCATCGTTTTAGTTAGAATATATATATTGAAAACTTACAGTCATCGTCGCATTCCAGTGCTTTCACCGACAGTCAGTTCCTTATTTTGAATATCATTTACCATATTTGTACAGACAACTGGGCGTGGTACGTATATGCCTCACAACATTATATATATGAGTGAACTAAAGTATCTATAATGATTTTTTAATGGCTAATAGAAACGTGTTATACCTCATATCAGGTGTTCCTCTTGGATGTTAATATATTCTATGTCATATTAATGCAAATAAACTAAATATACCTGTTGGGTAAGAACGAATCGGTACTGTGAATGTTTCATTTCGTTAGAAGGTCATAGAGCAACGGTGACTATGCTCAGTCGTCGAGGCGGCGAGGACTTCGTTTCGAGATTATATGTTAAGAATTGTTCGTTTCTCTCTCAACTTTGCTTTGATGCTATTTTTGTTACGTTTTAAAAGTTATAAAACATAAACGTTCGTTTACTGACGCTTTTCAAAGAATTCCACAACGCATGACAAGGGAGTAGCATATGAATGATTCAATAATCTATCGACATTAGGATCAATTTAAAGCGAACGGGGGCGACTGGCTTCGCTAGAACACGGTGATAAAGGGCCATGTCTACGTACTTATGTTCCCAGTCCCTAACATAATGCCACTTATCCAGTTCTACGCTTAACCTAACCTATCTTGATTTAGCAATTCCCATCTTTAATCTAACCTATCCATTCTTAACCTGGCCCGACGCAACCTAGCCTAACCTAACAAAACTTATCAAAGTCCGACTTGAAACTATTCAATCCTAACCTAAGCTAACCTATCCCATCCTAACCTATTCAGTCTACCCATTCCTACCTAACCTAACTTAACCTATCCAACCCTAACTAACCTGACGTAATTACCTATAGCAATAATAACAATTACATCCAGTCCTAACTACCCTCCACATTCCTAACCATCCACTCCTAACCTAACAACCTAATCTTAATCTAACCTACACACGAGGCACAGGACTGATGGAAGCACATATAGTGGACTATATAATCCACTTAGAATTCGTATAAATGCTGAGTTCATCATTCGTACAGTAGATCCTTTGTCGTTAGCGGTTATGTGCTGAGTCAGC